TCTTAATAATATTTGGTTCACTTTTGAGCATCTTCCAAATAAACAGCTTAAACAAGAGTGACTTGGAAATGAGCATAAAAAATTTTTCCAATAGCGCTGACGTAATACAATTTTTTACTTTTCTTACAATTAACGTTGGTTGAGAGTCAATTGCTTCAATTTGGAGTACATTCCCTTCAGATACAAAGAATTTTTTCAGCGACATGCACTTTGTACAGACGAAAGGTTTTCAATCATTAATTTCTGTCGTGCTATTCGCTTCTTAATTACTTTCCTTAGTTACGGAAGCAGGCAAAATTCACTTTTCAAAACACTTTTCCAAAATTGTTAAAATTGTTTTTTGGCAGCAGGAACTTCATACGCATACACATAGGAGTAAAATGTAGAAATGGACTCTATCCTCAAACACTTCGTAAGAATTACTAAACAAAATTCCTTCATTGGGCTAAGGAAGTGAATCTAAGGCGCTTTAAATTGCCAAAAAATTATTCGAACGTGCAGGTCGCTCTCTGTTAGGACATATGTTAAACTTTGTCTGAGTGACATAGTTGGGAAGTGTTTGTATTTGTGAACTCTTGCAAATTCAATGATCTAACAATCGAACTGCATGGGACGTCAATTTGTAAATTGATAACCCTGTCCACATTTCAATCATACCGATTCCCGACTTAAGTCTTTATGCCTATATGTGGCTGTAATGCCGACCAAGGGGTAGGGGTATAGATGGACGTGCGTAAATCAATTGATAATCGAAACATCAAACATTTTGATCTTATCACATGAGGACAAAAATATATATATTTTATTATTTTACTTCTTTTATTTATTATTTTATATATTTTTCTTACTTTACGCACATAAGCGCTACGCTTTTTTTAATTTTTTCTTTGGAGTCCCAGACATTTGTTAAAATTAATTCTAAACAAAAGCAAGTTTATACAAACTGTGAATCAACAGAGGATAACTTCTGCTTTTCCCAAGCAACTCATCGTCAATAGTTTTATGTTTTCTTTATTAAACAACATTTCATTTCTCGACCATTCCGTTGTATTAACACCCGCTTCTCATGCCAATGCGTGAATTTGTTTTTCATTAAATTAATTAAAATCCCACTGAGTAATAAGGGGAATCGAGTTTAATTCAGGCGTCTTTCATGGTAAGGAGAAGAAAAAATTATATGAAACGCTTTCGCTTATTAAAAATTTATTTGTTTATCATTTAGTAAAATTATCAACACGGCAATGCTCAGATATTAACAAGCATTTAATAATAATTACTAATTAATCTTTCGTCAGTTGATGACACACATCAAGAAAAAATATTTGAAGCATTTTTCTCTTCTCTCTTTGGTAATTGATAAGTGCAAGTATTCACACCAATGTGGTGTTTTGGAGTGGAACAAAACAGCAGCTATGTGCAATAGAAAGCCAAGGCTAACAATTTACGTCTCCTTAAGTGTTTATTAGTTTCCATTTAGTGTGCAACGACTAACGGAAGATAACAACAAACATACAATTTCTTGGTATCCATTACTTGAAGAGGATTTCAGAGAAACCAACACGAAATTAGTTCAATGCGAAACGCTCGCTACGAAAGATGCGTCAATTCTAAACTTCTGCTTGCACGCAAGACTCGTGGATAGACAGCAAACTTTTTCGCAGCGCTACTATCAAAGTAAGTTGCTGGTGTATAAAATTGGAATCGACAGCGTTTTGGTGTTCGCAAAAGCATTTTAAAAATGTCCCACTTAAACTTAAATGCTTTTAGATATCTAAAGAAAGTGTAATGACAGAAGGAAAAACTTTCCCCTCATTAGGCAAACTAGTATGAAGAGAACGCGTAATTATGCCCTGCACACTGTTACAGATCCACGAGAACTTGAGCTTTTCGTAATTATGAAAGTTTGCAACGACATCTTCGGAGAAATCTTTGAGAGTAGTGGCCTCTGTTCTCTCTCTAAGGCAGATCAACATTTTATTTTGAAATTGGTTGCGTCTGCTATTGCTTTTTGGTAATGTGGCCATTTCTTAACGCTAGAACCGCCAAACTTATCGGTTTGACGTGTTTCAGCATTCGAAATCATTTTTATTGCTATTATTATAATTTATTTAGACCAAAGAAATCGACTTTAGACAAATGCGACTCGTTTAATTTATTTAGACCAAAGAAATCAACTCTAGGCAAATGCGACTCGTTTTTTTTTTTAATAATTCAAATAATTTAAGAATGATTAGAAACCTTTAATGTCTGAGAGCGTTAAAGCCACCTGCAATGTAAGGGTACGTTAAGTTTCATTATACCGATCGATTCGGAATCATTTTCTGAATCTATTTAAACTTGTCCGTTTGTCTGCCCGTCTTCTTTTCTGCTTTTCAACCTACAAGCTGCAATTTTAACGGTATTGAAATTGATTCGGATCGGATTACCTCCCAAATAACGCCTTATTTTGAAAACTCGCTATATGAATTATTATGGGGTGGTGTAATGTATTTAGCACTGAGCCGTGATCCTCAGTGGTATGTTTACTTGTTTTATTACAGCGCAAGAGTTTCACTCGATTTTTTCAATCTGATTTATGTCTCAAGAGATCAGTGGCCGACCAATAACTCGTACTAATCACTAGCTCTAAAATGAGTCAAATCGCCTCATTGTTCTTGGAATTGTAATAATCCCAAAAATTAACATAGGAAGCTGATTTTTACAAGATACATTGTTCGTTTAATTAAAAAGACGATACTATCAAATATAGGGTATTTACTTGCAAACACACCTACAATATATACAAAATGGAACTTAAAAAAAAATTTGTTTTTCCTTATTTTCATCACTATGTTACGAATTCATAGACCCTTTACAGAAAAACTGTAACCCAGATATTCGCCAGGTTCGATCCAAAATTGACTCTAAATGTTTTGCCGATGACCAAAAAATAGTTTGATTAAGTTTCTATATATATGATTTACCTAAATGATGTATACTGAATGCATTTTAAATTACCTCAGAACACGTTTTGATTTAGTTGTGAGGGAAGATAATTACTAAAATTATGACAGCAATCTAAACAATGTAATTACTAAACAATTAAGAACTAACCAAGCATAGAGTTTACTTTATAGCCTAATGGAAGGCGTTAGGAATAAGATACAATAACAAATTAAAAAGGTTTTCAATCCGGCTTATGGTTTGGACAATAGTCTAGTTTTTTGTATAAATACAGGGCGGTAACCTGACGCCAATAAAAATTCTAGCGACCAACTATGATGTGAGGAAAATAAGCTTGATGCGTACATTTAGCTAGTAACATGTTATCCACATGACATCAACAAGTACAAAAAGTGTTGGGTCCAAAACCGGACAACAAACGTAGGCTATATGCAAAATCGATAAACCGATTGGACTCACCTTGGGAATAAGCTTGCAGATTGTTAAGACATCGCGTTTTTCTCGAAGTATATCGAAACAAATTCCCGGATTAGAAAAGAAGTTTATTTTCGTGGTGGTTTCTGTCTTTTGTCTATTGTAAGATCGTTTTGATATTTATTCGAAAAACATACCACCAAAATTTGAACTTACCACTTTAATTATAAGTTTATGGCAATGTGGGAAATGGATAAAATGCACTCTCTCTTTAGCAGGAGTAAGCGTACACAAAATGTGGGTTGGTGTAGCGTCCTGTTGTAGTCTCAAGCCTAACTGATTCCAACTTACGAGTCGGATCGACCGTATGTTAAACTTTAAACTTTTATGATCCTCTTTGGTGAAAAATTAAACGAATATAAAATACAGCCCTCGTAAACATTTAACTTATCATGTCATTAGCAAAAGAATCTAATCTAAATCCTCTTCAGAAATAACTTCAAATTAAATATTAAAACTTTCGTTAACCGCAATTAAAAACGAATTAAAATTAATTTGTTATCAAGCCGATAGTTATTTGAAAGAAATATATAATCAATAAAAAGGGTTGAAAATAGTCAAAGAAATCACTTCGCATACGAAAATGACAAAATAACGACAGTCAAAGTCAAAAGTTCAGTTCAAGTTAAAATGTAGATAATTATTAAGAAAATGATCTTTTATATAATAGGAATTGAGTATGTAGCAACAGTAGATATTCAAGGAAAAGGAACACTAGCGGACACTTTCATTCTTGCAAATTAAATTATCTCACCCATGGATGACTTGTTTGTTACAAAAAGGGAGGAGTTAGAGTAACAAGCTGACCACTATCGGAAAGAGTAAGTGAGAAGGTCGATATAGTTTTTAAAATATTATTAGAAAAAAAGAGATAGATAATTAACGCAATTTGGAAGAGAGTGGGAGAGAGCGAGAGAAGCAAATAGCAAGAGTTTACTCTCTTTTAAGATGAGAGTCTTTCCAAAAATACAACAAATCATCGATGGTATGTTTGAATGTTTGCCATATCTCATTTTGTTCCACTTCCATCTGGAAGGATTAAATCAACAAATCTTGGAAACTTATCTCAATTGAAAAGCAAAATTGGAAACGAAACCAAAGGACAAGGGTCGTAACAAGCAATGCCGGTGCGTAAGTGTGTTGGGTTGTGATTCTCTGAGATTCAAATATTAATATAGCAAATGAGAAGGCCACCATGTTGAAACCTTCCATAGCACATGTAAAACTAGTCTAACGACTGCGAACCGAATGCAATTCTGATTACTCAGGAACAGATTTTCTTTTTACTCATCTCTCTCTTTCTCTCTTCATATTAACCCATATAGTGGGTGTTTATAAAGTAAACAAACTCTTGTGTTTAAGTGTCGTATAAATCCGGCTTTCGGTGGTTGTTATCGCACTACCGTTGTTCGCCTTTGAGTTATATGTGACTGAATGAAAAGAAAAAGCAGAAAAAAAAGAAAGTAAATAAATGAACTAAACGAATATGGTCGTTAGTTGTCTGAATGTGTTTCGCGATGTTTTTATGCATTGCGACAGAAACCAGTATGCTTTAAGACGCTGGCCGTTCAACAAACGACTATATACCGTTATAATTTAGGCAAAATTTGCGATAATTAAGATTGATTTATATTTTAAGCGGTTACTAATTCCATTACTCGTGCGCTCTAAAACATATTGTTTCCTCTCAAATTCCCGCGTTCGGCATAAAAAAGATTATTTATATAGCAAAGCTCTCTTTAATCATACATGCACTACGCTACAGAGCTTTTTAACCTAAGAACTTTGGGTGCTGTTAAGTGAGTCAAGATTTGTTTTCCAATCTAAATTGAGAAATCGCAACAGTTGGAATCTACGGATTGGCAATGAATAGATGGAGGGTTACTTAACCGCTGTGTTTCTCTCTCGCATCTTCTGATGGCACTCTCACAGATTGTGACCGTTCACAAAATCAGTAAAATCAGTCCCACATAAAAGAATAGAGAAAACGAATAAGAAATCAAAATGAAAAACAAATCGTGGTTGTTGCAGCAGCAGTCAAGTCTTGGCCGTAGATGGAAATCAGATTCATATTTTGTTCATGGTGGCAGTGGCCACTAAAGCAGTGATTATCATTTTACAGTTAGTCCGCAACAAGATGCCAATGTAACCATGCCAACAAGATTCCTCACAAGAAAGCAAATATAATAACGCAAGTGTAAAAATTGTTGCTTAAAAATTCTCAAAACGATTAACCAAAAATTTAAATAAAAAATTTCTGTAAAAATTTAAAAACTTTCCATAAGCAGTGCGCGTTTTAAAAATTTGCGTTCAAAGGAAATTGTGTTACTGTGATAATTTTTAATTGAAAAAACAAAAAAAAAAAACAAAAAAAGACGAATGGATATAACAAAAGCGAATGCATTGGCACAGACATCAACCATCAGCAGCATGACTACTAGCACCAACTCTCACTTACCGCTCGACTATAGCTTGGGTAATTTTAAGCCAGCTATTGCTTCCGATTTTCCAGGCCCTTTTGTCAGTTCCACGCAGCCTGCATTGCAATTACGCGATATTAATGTGTTAACTACAATGGCAGCCACAATACCTTCACCCAATCAGTTATTACAACACCGAGTGCAACACCAGCAACCGCAAAGTGCTAATGATTCCCAACAGCAACAACAACAGGATTATCAACCCGTATCGGCTTTTAGAGCCGTTTTACCTAAAAAGAAAACAACCGCCGACGGTAAGTAGTCTACAGCAAATGACTCGAAAAACTTTCCAATTAAAAAGTGGAGTGCGGAAGTGTTTTATTTATTAAAAACAATTATAAAAAGTGAAAAGTTTATAATCAACGTTGTATATATACATTTTGTTTTCCAAGTTACATGCCGTCGGCATGTACAAACTTGCTGTAATCAAGCGGAAATTTCAATTCTGAAAATAACTTCGGAATAGTTCCATAATAAATTGTTTAAATTGAGTGACAAAGAAATTAAAGTTCTTTGAAAGGACACAAATCACGTGTGTGGGGGATGAAACAATGAGAAGGACCACTTACCTAACCGAAGTACACAATTTTTATATTGAGACATATAGGCGGATTATTTCTTTTTCGAGTAAAAAATTATTTCAAATATCATACATTTCTTTCTATTAGATTTCAATATTTTTCTGGTCTTAAAGAATTTGTTTAAAAACGCAGTTTACGGAAAGACATTTCATTCGAGATTAAGAACGTTTAAAGCAATTAATTAATTTAACTTCATTGTTGTTTTTATAAGATCTAAAAATACGCATAGGAACTCAAGTGAAAACATTTACATTTTTGATGAGCGCTAGATTCTCATTCTCATCCTAGCAGCATTCATCTGCAGCTTGTCTGGTTTGCCGCTTAACTTTATCTATTACTATCCATGAAAGGAAGAAACTTCCGTAGCAAATTTGAAATGAACGCGTTCATATTTCACAAATTTGCATATGAAAATTTGTTGACCCCAGAACAGACGCGTACAAGAGTCAATTTGATTGATTTTAAGCTTTGAGTTTCAAAATGTGTTTCAAATATTATGTATGTTGCAGACTTATGTGAAAAGAGATTTAAACGTTTGTCCATCTGATCTAATTTACGATATTCGTGACTTGTGTACCAAGTTTCGCCGAAATTTATCAATATGACCCGTAAAAATAATCATAGGGCGTTGAAATCTGATAAGTGCATTTCGCGGCACATTTAGTAGACGAAGTTGAAAAATTGCTGCCATTTGTTCGCAAGTATGCTCGCCATTGGCAAGAACTTTAAGGCATGTTTTCTCTCGTGTACATTTCCGAAAGGTGATAATTCAGAGAAAAAATCTCGTTGTTGCGCCTAGAAATGATCCGAGACGGCTTACTGATATCCCCAAAGTTAAAGATGACGATTTTTTTCCAATCTAAATCCAATTTATGCCAATTGACTGCAAGGTGATGTATATTGTCAAAATGTCAAAACAAAATAGAAGACCATTGTCAAAGCGGTGAGTGGTTCTTCAGAAAAACAAAATTTTTTTATAAATGCAAAAGTTTACGTATAACATTTTGGAAGAGAGCCTAGAACCAATCAGACTTGCGACCTATGAGTGAAATGTGTTTACAGACAAGTGACGTCAGAAATGTAGCATATGATAGAGTATGAAATCAAGGGGGGAATAGAAAAAAATTTGGTGAGGTCATCTTTGGTAGGGGAAGAGCCTACAAAACGAGGATGGTTGCAACGCTGAACCCTTGCGAGCTATTCAAATAAAATGAAAATATAGATATTGTGAATAAAAAGGCCTGAAATTAATCTGAGTTGTTTTACGGATTTCATGATACATTCTAGCAAAGAATTGATTTATCAAATATCCCAACTATTTAATGGATAGATAAGAAACCAATATGAAAAGAACAAACGTTGCACTCATTGGCAATCGATAACAGATGACAACAAAACGTAGCTGCATAAGCGATTGCGTATAAAATAATATATAAAGTACTTACCAATCACTCCATTTCTACTGTTCTTATGTCTGAGTTCATACGTGTCCTGAGTTTACAAAAGTTGCTAAGAAGGTTTGCCAAATCCCAATGAAGTATTTGCGGGGGAGTAATTATTTGAGATACAATAACTAAATTGGTCTTTGTAAGTTAGGTGTAACTAAGTTGGGGGGGAAAAGGCATCTAAAGTCTACTTTCAGTGCTGGTGCATGAGTAGGTTTCATTTAGTTTAAAAACTTTCTTCTTTTCACTTGCCACCGAAATTGTGTATTGTGAATGTATTGGATTTCTTCTTCCTAACCTGAGATGTAGAGTGATTTTAAGCACTGACCGTGTTAATGGAACAACGTTTGTGATCGTGCGTACATGCACCCTTTGGATTCAGGTGGAAGTAACCAAAGATATGTCTGTAAACCGAACACAGATTTCATTTTCATAACATTTAAAAATCTTCTATGCAAAACTAAGCAGCAAATCGTCCCCGACCGATAATTATTACAAATATCTAAATTCATAAATGAACATAGAGCTCTTGCATTAAGATGTAGATTCCTGTGGAAGCGAGGAAACAACATTTTGGTTATTTCAAAAAACTTTTTCATTGTTTGGTTTTCAAACAAGGAAAGTCTTAGAAGTATTTTCCCTCACGATCCCCATTTTTTAAATAAACTAAAGCAAGGCCTTCTAGATATATATGCAACGTTGATAGTCAAAATTTGGGACATTGCTGTAATTAACGAAAGGTAGAGTAATCAGTTTCAAGGCGTATAAATAAACGCTTCCTGCAGAAATATAACACAACACCCTTCACAATATCTAGGTAATTAACGGTATCCCGAAACGTTCATCAACGTTCAATTACTAGCAATATAATGCTCATATAGAAATAGATAGTACCGGTTTTCTGCAGAAAAAACAATTGTGTTTAATTATGCAAAACCGAATTATACAATGTGTTCTTCAGCGTAAATGGCGAAATCGGTTAAATTTGTGTTCATTCGGTTTGTCTTTTAAAATTAAAAAAAAAGCCTAGGCTGCGCTGGTCGTTCGCATTGCTCCCCTCCCGGCGCCAAGAGTTCTTCATGAGAAACGGCATCAAAAGTAGAGGAAGCCGTTTATTTGCCGCTTTATTTTTCGTGCAGTCAGCTATTATGGAGGTCCAAGGCTTACGCATGTCTCTCTGAGGAGATCAGAGAAGTAATAGTGTGCCCGGAGTCTGGCCTTGTTGGATCCACACTTATCCTGGGACGTTCAAAATCCATGTAGAAAGATTGAATAGCCATCCTTAGCAAGCGTAGAATATCGCAATGCAAGAATAGCTACGCTGCCCATAAGCTTCATTGTTCGAACTATGAACACCATCTTCTGCTGAGTTCTGACTGCTGGGCACGATTCCTATGAGAGAGCTTCGTGGTAAGTGCGGCTGCCACAAATTACGTCGACATTAAATATTGAGCTGTCCGACAGTCTTACAGGGGAGAGTTTGGCCAAAGTCGAGCTCTTCTATCAGGTATTCCAAGTGATGTAGCATTGCACACTACGGGGTCAAGTTATCGCGTTTGCATAGCTTTTAAGCCATTTAAGTTCGTCCAATTAAGATGACGACGGTAAAATGTGGAGATAGAATACTGACAATTTCATGCTTTTGCTAGAGTTATGAACTCGGACGCAAACTGATCCTATATCTTTAAGCCCTTTTAAAATCTCGTGTCTAACTTGGGAAATCAGCTATATAAGCCCACAATATATGTATAGCATGTATATGTAAGAAGTAGTTTTTAAGAATAGTTGTCCATGTATTTTATGGCGTCGGGTACCATATATCACAACAAAAACCAATATGTCATATTAATGAAATAAATTGTCCTGTTTACATATTTATTATATACGCAAGTAATGAAACATATGAAACATAATTATAATGTAATGCTTTATCGAAAAGATGTTAACGTCGGAGAGGCAAATGTGCAAAAAAGAAAACAGTTTTTAGGGCTTGTAATCAACAACACACAATCACTCAAATTCTATGTGAAATCGTCCATAGGTTATAAATTGTACGATCAATCTAAAGAATGTGCGACATGCCTGCTATTAAAGAAGGAAAGATAAAAATCTGAAAAGATCTCAATGGAAAGTATCGCAGGAGGTTTATATAATGTTAGTAGGCAGCTACTGGTCGTCTCCGAGCCGATTTCATACCCCTTGTGGGAACAATTTTACAACTTAAGAAAATTGCATTAAATCGACTTTTTGTTAAAGGTAACGCTCTAGATGCAAGGCAAGGTAAATGTTGAGCATAAGGAAAACTGAATAGTTTTTTTTTTAAATAACGCTTCACGAAATCCAAGTTCGTAAAATCACCGCCGCTTTTTTACAGTTTTAAATGCGCTAATAGTGCTGGGTTGTCTTCACGAAGCTTAAATTGAATAAACGCTTTCTCTACCATTTTTCTTGGTGAACACGAGTCCAAATAACACTCATCATCATCGCTTCACTTTTTTTTTCATTAGAGAGCAATGTTTTATTAATGCATGGCGGATGAAATTTTTCCATTGTTTTTAAAATTACGAAAGTAGCGCCACAAGCGTACAAGTTGTAAGCTAATGGTCGGAATGCCATGTGCCATGACATATTGGCACAATTTCTTTAAATGTTACTGCGTCTATATCTCACGCTACGAACTTGTTGGGCGATACGTTATTTGGTACGTACATATGGTATATACGCTATGTTACGAGGTTAGACTGTTTAAGAAAATTGGATTCATCAGCTTAACTTACTTTATCTGAAATGCTGAAAGAACTCTAGACTTTTAAACTTTCTACTACTACCGTCTACTTAATCTTCGTTCGTAACTAAGGGTTAAAATTAACTTTATCTGAAAACTTTCTGCTATTTAAGAAAATGGTGTAAGATGCTAAATTTAAAAAAAAAAATTAACCTCGAAATTTTATTAAGATTCAAGTAAAGAGCTTCGTGTTCACATTGAGCCTTTTTCTACTTGACGCGGTGAACGATGATGCGATGAATTCTTAAAAGATGAAGAAGATGAATAGTGAAACGGAAAGTGTCTGTGTATATACCGATGTCATATATATAGTCTATTCTATGACATGTTGAGTGATTTTCGTGTCTGTCTGAAGAATATAATATTTTTAATTAATTAATTTTGGTTAAATAAAATTTGTTTATTCCAATTCCAATTTGGTAAAATAAATTCTAAAGCTGTAG